CAGATTTAACCTTATGATCCTGAGGACAAAGCTCAAGCAAAGCAGTGGCTACCAAGATGTGGAAGGGTCCAGTCAACCCAGAACCAACTTGGTCAAGAGCCAAAGTCATGACAGTAGTTGGGGATGCTCAAGGCATGTTGCTTGTTGACTTCATGGAAGGCCAAAGAATGATGCCATTTGTTATTATGAGAGTGTTCTCAGAAAGGCAGCTAAAGCTTTAGCAGAAAACTGCCCAGGGAAGCTTCTTCACCACAACAATGCGTCTGTTCGTTCCTCTCCTCAAAGAAAGGCAATTTTTGTTGGAAAATCTTTAGGCATCTAATTTCCAGTCCTAATTTGGCTCCTTCTGACTTACTTCCCAATCGTAACAAATCTTTAAAGTACACGGCCAATTTTTCTTTCACTTAATAATGTACAGAAGACTACCTTGATATGGTTAAATTCCTAAGACCTCAATTCTTTAGAGATGGGCTCAACGGCTTCTATCATTGCCTACAAAAGCATCTTGAGCAATGTTGAGAGATAAAGTTGGGATTTTTAAATTTTTTTCATTCCCTTTCAAAAACCTTTTGGGAATTCCATCATATAATTTGTTTCTGAGAACTGTATCCCAGGTGGGAAGAGGTGACATGAGCATCAGAAAACAAATGACAGCCAAGAAGTGACCTAGTTTACAGTGCCTACGGGTCCCTGTGTGTGTGGGGTCTGTCTAGTGGCAGTGTGGCCATGGAGCAAGGCACCATGCACAGTTCAGGACTCTGTCTGGCATCTTCAGGAACAAGCGGAGGGGTAAAAGGGCCCTCTAGCTTGGAGCCCCGTTGAGCAAAGGTGAGTACTTGGTCATGCAGATAGCGCCATTCACGTGCATAAGATAGCTACCTATATGTCTAAGTTCAACAGTTTTATATTTAATTATTGGCTGCCGAAAACGACAAGTCTTTCTATGGACATAACTTGTCTAACTCATGTCATTGTTGTTAGGGGCCATCTAACATGAGCCACCCCATGTCCAACGGAGCGAAACACTGCTGGCCCTGCACCTCCTCACACTTGTACTGTTTTCTTTTTTTAAGCATTTTATTGGTATTTAATCCACATATCACACAATTCAATAGTTCAATCATGACGAGAAGAACTGTATAATCATCACCACGATCAATTTTAGAACATTTCCACCACCACCCTCCCCATGGTTAAATCACTTTTAAAATGAGTTGTGCAATTATCATCAGTTCTAGAGAGTGCTCCCTCCGCCTCCCACAAACATTGTATCCTCCTCAGACCCCCTCACCCTCCCTGTCTCCCACCCCCCACCACTCCCTCCCCTGTAAATCCTTGCATCAGTTCCTATCTCTATGCCTCTACTCCTTCTGTGCTCCGCAAACTGGAAAACCCAACAGAAACAATAAAAAAACAAAAACAAAATAAAATGGTAACGATAAAATAATAGAGATAAAAATACAAATTGTGGGTAAGAAAGAAAAGAACATCGTGAATATTTAAGAGGCCAGGGAAGAAGTTTTTGCCATGGAACAAGCAAGAAATATTCGCACCTAGAAGAATCTCATGGTGATTTTCCAGCAGCTTCATCAGGCTAGGTACTCTGCACGTGGGTTTTGGGGTCCCCCTGTCCTCCATTGCCTTCTACAAATTGGGTGTTTGCAATTTAGGTTCTGATACCTTTCCCTTTGCCATATTTGAATTTTGTTATTGTTGTCTTTGGATCTCACAAGACTTAGTTGACTCCTCATGTAGATGGCTGCCTGTTTGAATACAAGCCTTTAAGACCCCAGACACTATTCTGATTGATAGTTGGGCACCATCTGCTTTCTTCATCACACTTTGCTGTAGCACCCTTATCTTCAATGATCATTTCATGAAGGTGAGTCTCGAGCAGGGTCATGTGATCAGAACTAACTATTCTTAGATTGTGGTTAGAGTTCAGTGGGAACCCATAAACCACCTGCTTGTCCCAGGATATGCATGACTCCTGTTTATTTTGGCGGTCGTATTATGACAAATTCAAAACCCCATAAGACCAACTACCTCAACAACAGCCACAAACCAACTAGCAGGGAACAAGAGACAAACAAACAAAACCAAGCAAACTAAGGGCAGGAAAACAAAAACCCATCAAAACCCAACAGTAAGTCATTGTCAATCATCCCCCTGGGGTATAAGGTGATTGCCCTTGTAGCATGGTCAGTGTTTCCACTGACACATACCTTTGGATGGGTCAGCTTGAGGAGTATGTGCCTGCCCAGTTCCACCATGAGCCGCACCCAGGAGTTGCTTGAGCATGGGGGTCGGTGCAGAGGGTATGCCTTCCTGGATCAGGTCTTCCAACCCCTACCCAACAGATCAAAACCTGTCATGGTGCTACGATGGGAAGCTCACACTTGCTCTTCTCTTTGAGCCAAGTCTTTACAAGAGAGGCTAATATTGACCAGGGTGAATTCTTTTTTCGGAGAATAGGTTTATTTGTTTCATGGGGAGTTCTTTATATTGCTTCTGAAGTGCACAACGTCAGCGTGTTTCTTACACACGCACACACACATATGTTTCCATGGCAATTCTAGCCTGACTACGTTTAATCATCTTAGGAGAAATGTTAACTTAAAAAAATGTATTTGTTGTCTGCTCTCTCTCCCCCGGTGGTACCCATACCATCTGACCTTTTGCAGGGTTTTTTATTAATGGAGAAACATTTGTGTTAGCTTTGCGGCGTGCCTTTTGCTCTCTTTGTAAATGGGCAGAACAGCTGACTTAGCAGAACTTGGGTCTGTCTGATGCAGCTACATTTTGAAAAAGAGAGAAGTCTTGATTTTGAGCCATACTTGCCTTTAGCTTTACTTACCTTCTCAAGAAAACCCACACTGACTAGTCGGCTGAAACCAAATGATCTTTGTCTAGACTCAAACACCTCTGGGAGGCCCTATGATCCAGGGTATGGATTTCTGCGCTGGGCACATTTTTTAGCCGTCAATTTCCACAGACCTTCCGAGACCATTAAGATAGATAATAAATCCAGGTGAGATTTAGTTGTGTCCGGTATTATGCAAAGAATTATAATCAGAAGGAAAGCACTTCCTTTAGACAAAGGAGAGGAAATATTACAGGGGTTTTGAGGAAATCCACCCCAGATGCACCCCCCCCACCCCACCCCCTTAAGTTCTGAAACCATTGAGAGGGAGGAGAGATAGTAACAGCTGGCCTGATGCAAATGCCCTCGTTTGAGAGGCAAATGAGCTTGCTAACTGAATGTCTAAATTAGACAACTATATTTACCCACTTACCAAAATTGCTGGACCATTTCAGACCTTCTCTGGAAAATGCTTACCACTGAATTGACCCTGGCAAAGGTACAAGCAGTCAGTCAGGTGTGCGAAGACTGGCCCTTAACTGAAAGGCTGCCAAGTGGGCATTCACCCAGAGCTGCCTGGGGAAAGGCACTGTGATGTCCTTCCCGAGTTGAACCCCCTGGAGTGCAGCCTACTCTGAGGCAGGGAAGGAAGGAGGGGGTCCCTGAGGGAAGCATGTCCACTCACTCTGCTGAGTTTGACCAAACGAAGAAGACGTGACTTCACTCTCTAGGTGGAGTGAGCTTGGGAATCCCCAACGGAGACGAACTTGAAGGCAGTAGTTCCCTCGGCACGCTTAGACACACACTTCGTTCACCTTGTAGACCGTGAAATCAAGATGTGCTCTAAACCAGTGTCCTCTTGCTGGCTGTCCTCTCGGGGGCAGCCTAATGAGTGGATAATGCTTTCCTGTGGGGGCGTAGGGTCGCTTTCTGGTGCCATGACGCTTCAGTCAATTCGCCACATTACAACTGTTAGAGGAGGAATGACCGGTCCTGATACTCTCTGCGTCCTGGTCATATCAATAGTACCTGGTCATATGGAGACAGCACCGATCGAATGAGATGAAACAGCATTTGTGTGATGTTGAATGCAGTACCGGTGATCAGCTCTGTCAGCCTTCACCCAATTCACAACGAAAAAGGCTTTAAGGGAAAAGAGATAAAGCCCCAATGGAAACACTTGAGAATCAGTGTTACGTTTTGGAACAAAAACGTCGGGCACACTAGAGCATCTTCCCAAACCCACACTCCTGGTGTCCGTGGTGACCGTGCCCCTGACAAACAAGGACACCTGTTTGGTCCAGAGTCAAGCAGAACAGCTGGACTCTGATTATTAGGTGGCTTTGAGAGTACCTTCCCCAGTGTCTTATGCGCCCTCATTAAGTGTGTCTGAGAAATGTCTGGTAAAGATATGGTTTTAGAAAGTGAACAGAGCTCTTAGCTGTTTTCAATAAGAAAGTCTAGGCAGTAAAGTCCTGGTCAGAGGACTTTTGTCCTTCAAGGTCCGTGAAATAATCGTGTCTCCTACCACCCCGGTGGCTCGCAAAGTTTAAAACATGTGCCCTCTGGTCCTTGATGATTGGGGATGTGCTGAAATGGGAGTCTCCACACCAGTCTTCACGGCCCTGGGCAGCTTTCCTGGCACGCCCTCCTGCCCCTGCTAGTCTCACAGACATTCATTCCACCGTTGACTGGAGATCAAAGGTCAATGTCCACCGAGTGGTAGCCCACTGCTTTAAATAAGCCATTTGTTCTCATGGCACTGTGGTTGCTCGTTGGGCTGCCAACCGCCCACCAGCTGCTCTGAGGGAGAAAGACAAGGCTTTCAACTCCCGTAAATCGTTACAGTCGCACAAACCCCAGGGCCAGTGACCTCTGCCCGGTCCTGTAGGGTCACTATGTAATTGCCTGGACGGCAGGAGTTTTTCTTGAGTGCATCCACGATAGTTCTCCCAAGTGAAGAGGCTAAATCCATGGTTTATTTAAGTGAGGAAGATGGGACCAAGCCATTCAAAGTCATTTCCTGGGTAGATGGCCCTACTTATTAATTGTATAGCGTTCACGTACGTAGCTTTGGTTTGCTGCCTTGTAAAATTTCCAGTGAACTAACTCTCTCTTTTTTCCTTTGTTCTAAAAGGGGGTCCTGATGACAACTTAATTGAAGGCGGAGGAGCAAAATTTGTCTGCAAACCGGGAGCCAGGAACATTACCGTCATATTCCATCCGTTACTAAGGTAAGACAGAGCCCGTGATACGCCTGCTGAGGATCAGCCAGTGCTGTCAGTGTTTGTGTGGATGTTCAGCCCATGTTGAAAGGTTCTCCGTCTTCCAGGCCTTCTCTGTGAGAGGGAATGACCAATAGAACAGATTCGGGCCGGCCACTAAGTAGCTCCTTGGTCTCTGCAGTCAAACTGCAGACGTACTTTTATTGGATTGTCTTTTGTGGCTGTCTTTAAATGTGTGGCTGGCTGTCTGTCATTCTTTCTCTCTGTCGCTTTCTCCCTCTCTTACGCTCTCCACCCCTCCCCAGTTTCCTTTCCCCTCTTCCCCTCCTTCCCTTCCCTCCACATTCCTTTCACTCCTCCTCTCTTCCTCCTCCTTCCTCAAGGAATTGACAAACCATAGCCCAGGGGAGAAATCCAGCTGGAGGCTCTTTCTGTCAATAAAGCTTTATTGAAAGGCAGTTATGTTTGCCGCTGACACATTGTGCACGACTGCTTCCAGGTGTCCACAGCAGAGTAGTGCGGTTGCGAGGGCAGCCGTGTGGTTCACACGCCCTGAAATGTTTTCTCTCTAGTCCTTGACAAGGAACAGTGGTTGGCCCCCACCCCTTTCTTTATAGGAATGATTCCGATATCTTTTGAGAATTGGCAGGTCTCTGAACAAATAAGGCTTGCAAACAGTGAAATGCATGATATCAATCAAATGTGTGTGGTACCGTCCAAAGAAAGGTCACTTAGTGGCTCGAGTAAAATGGATTCGAAGGCTCACATCATTGTGATGCTGTGATTGTAAGCGAGTCAGCATCCAGCCACTTCCATGTGGAAACAGCCTGGGCCCCCGCGGTCTTTTCAAGCGCACTCTAATAGTGCTCGTGTGTTTTCTCTGAAATGAGCCAGTATATATTTTTATATTATTTTGCATAATGGGCCAGAAACTCCTAGGTGGAATAAAAATTATGTGCATAAAGATATCACATTAACTTTCTCAAATAACGCCTTAAACATTTGAGGCATTTGGAATAATAGTTAAACAAATGCTCCCGAGTTCTCCAGGGATGGCATTATACGCACTTGTACGGAACACAAACATTTTATTGCTGATATTATCCCACCTTCTTATTAAGCAACACTTATTAAATTGATACCATTAGAGCTAGTTAAATTCAAAGGTCTTATTTAGGTAAACAGTTATTTGAATTTGTACTGCCTTATTTTCCTCTAATTGGCTTTAAATGCAAAACTCAAAAGTATAAATTAAAGAAAAAAAGGCTGACTTTTACACAAACAAACCTAGAGATTTAAAAAGTAACTTTCTTAACCTTAAAACAAAACAAAACCTGTTTTAGCAAATTCAGTTGCAGCACCTGAAGCTTTTTCAGAATCACAGAATTAAGAGAATTAAAAGTATTTCTGTGTAGGTTTAGCTGATATCTACAATATACACACGGCATATATATAATAGGCAAATTACAAGGCATAGAATTTCTATATTTTATATGTATGAGTATATATTATATATAATGTGTATGTATTTATATACACAATAGACATATTGTGAATTAGAACATATGAAATTTCTATATTATATACAAAGGCACTTCAAGAAGCTCTTGGAAAATGGAATGAAAAGATAGTGAAATTTTTCAACAGACTCTTTTGAAGCCTTTCACATATGCATGAATATATCATACACACACTCGTTTATATAGATGCATGTGTTCATATTTGTATATTGAAAAAACTATATATCTATGGTAAATTGCAACTCAGTCTCTCGGTATTATATGCATGTACTTAACTCCTGGAACAAAATGGGCAGAATGCATCCGGATGGGAAGGTTAGGGAACCACCTGAAAAAACCCATGTGTAACTTACCTTTGACCCCGGAACAAGATGGGGCTGAATTCCCGTTGCTGTTGAGGGGGGCTCAGGGGTCAGAGCAGCTGTGTCAAGACCTGTGTCACTTGTCATCGCCCGAGCTGCTCACGCCCTTACCAACACAACCACCCAGTCACAGTGCTGCAAGCAGAGCCTCACCACGCTCAACAACGGGTGGGTGGAGGGCAGGGAATCCACATTCAGGTGCGCCGTGTGCTTCAAACTGAAACCGCTGAGGAGCCCACTGTACACACACACACACACACACACATACACACACACACACAGAGCAGGTAATCCACACTTAGGTGCGCCGTGTGCTTCAAACCGAAAGCGCTGAAGAGCCCACTGTACACACACACACACACACACACATACACACACACGGAGGGACTTCACAAAGGTCGTGGAAAGAAACAATGAAAGATTAATGGATTTGTTTCCATGTACTTTTCTAAGCCTACTCATACATGTGTAATCTCTCTCTCTTCTTATCTGACTGGTAATTCGTTTAGTACTCACTCTCTTCTCCAATTACAATTGATTTCTACTTAGTTAGTGTTGCTAATTGTGAGGGAAATGGCAGCCTACCTTAATCATTATGGGCATCTTCTAAGGTGGCTTTAACAGCATCATTCCGCTCACCGCTGCGTTATCCTATGGCTTCGGTCATAGGAATGCTTACACTGACATTTGTTACCAAGAACAAAAGAAACCCGTTGGAAGCTGTGTCGCAGGGATTCCAATAACGCCTTTCAGAGAATTTTTCACGCAAATGGGTTTCTTTGTTTTCCTGTTCTAAGGACGAGTGGTGAGAATGAACAGAGTGCGTGTAACGCTCCTGTGTATGTGACACTCCTGTGCGTGTGACACTCCCTGTATCAGTACTTCCTGACACAGATGTTTTCCTACTGGGTGTTACTGAAGTTTATCTTGGGGTTTGGGTGACAATGTATAGAACTGGCATGCTTCCCACTTCCTCCCAGGGTCCCTCATTTCCGTTGCCCATCTGTCCTTGGGAACTTTGTTTCTGAGCAGGCTCTGCCCCCGTTGTCTTTTATGGTTGAGTTCGGAGGAGGAAGTTGCTCACAGCACTTGATTGTTCACGTTAAAGGCTCTTGTGTGTTATTTGACCTCAATGTGATTTCTGGGAGCGGGTTCACGTCCAAGTTTGGAGGGTGTTAATGGACGACAGTCCTTGGGCTCCTGACCCTCTCTTATCAGACCAATAAGCCTGGTATTTTTTATGATTTGGAGTTTGGGTCTACATTTCTCCCACTCTGACTGGTAACATAAACTGTGATCTGGATCAGAGTGGTGGGCGGTGAGCGCTGGGCACCATCTAGTTCTTCTGGTCTCAGGCTGGTCTAGCCTGTGGTCCACATGGTTCACTAGGTCTTTTATACTAATTGTCCACTCAGGTCTCTGATTTTCTTCCCTCTATTTTTCTCTGGAGAAGAGGAGACTGGAGTACCCTCAGTGCCTCAGTTCCTCAAGGTTTTTAGTAAATCGGAGACTTTTTTATAATTTTGCCCCCAATTGGCTCAACTGGTTGATACATACACAGAAGTCGGCTCTGGTAATTCTTGTGAGAGGTTTCAGAAGGTTGCAGAGAAATTCCATTGTCTTTTTTTTTAGGGCACGGGAGTGTGTGCTAAGCAAATCGAGGAAAAGTTTCTCCTAAGTTTACTATGCAGAAGATACTGTTCAAAGTACTTTTCATTCCCCATGGAATTTACTACGTTTCAGTAACGTGTTTCAGCTCTTTTGTTAGAGAATCCTTGTAAGCCTTGATAGAACTCTCACTGTTTCTACTCACTTGTTTGGTCTGTGCCTTCATTCAAAATTTTAAGTGACGCATAGAACTGGACAACGTTTTTGCAAGCTATAAATATGTGTGCATTCTCCCTTGATTCATTCTCTGTGCATCTCTTAGTGGAAGACACGGGAATATTCTGTGGCCTGCAAGGTAAGTTAATTCTTTGAAAAGCAGGTGGTACTTGTTCTTAAAAGTAGTGTCAGATACAAGAAGTTCAAAAGGTATAAAAACCAAAAAAACCCTGCATTGGCCAGCGGTCAGCAGCTACTTAACCACGATGTCATTCTTTCCTTAACACCCTCTCTTTGTGAATTCAGATGCTCGTCACTGGAAAGAAGCAACTTCTCTAAGTGTGTAGTTCACATTTTCCTTAGCTGCTCACCGTCTACATCCAGAACTCCTGGGACTCCCGTCTTCCAGAAGCTTTGCCTACTTCTTAGCTACCCTTCATTTACTCAACACATTCTTCTCGTCACTTCCCTTCAGCAGCCAGTGCATTCTGGGCAGGCTGGCAGCCTTTCTGTGCTGGCAATTCTGGACCAGCCATCCAGGAACACCCCCTGGCCAGATGCCCTCGTTGCTGGTGTGTAAATCAACCCAGCGGTCGTTTCTACCATCTTTCCATACAATCCTGTATAAGGTCCTGGAAGCTGGTGACCTCATAGGCTTATTTTGGAGTGTCCCTGTCTCCCACCTGCACTCTCCTCCCCATGAAATCTCACAGGATGCTGATGGATAGAGGTAGAGGTTCAATTGTCTGGCTTCAAACTTGCTCACTTCTTATGAACTCTGACTTCATGGCTTTTTTTTTTAATGAAAAGAAAATTTTATTTTAAAAAAAGACTAATGAAAATATTAAAATAAAACAGAGGGAAGACCCTCTGTTGAGAAAAAAAAAAAGCAGGAAATATTGAAAACCAGAACGAATCTAAAATGGATCAAGAGGGAGATTTAATGACCGGGCACGACATTATAACCTAACTTCATCTGCCATAATCCAGCTTAAAATGTTCTCCGTCTGATAGCAAGGTTATTCATGCCGCTCGACTGTGGTCAGAGGGGAGTTCTACCAGAGGCTTCTTCTATATAGGGTCTGCAGATGGATTGTATGTGCTCACTGCCACCCACAGCCTTCTGCAAATTGGGTGTTCACAGGTTAAGCTCTGATAACCTTTCCGTCCTTCAGATTTGGGTTTTGTGATTTGTCTTCCTTGACTCACACAGGTTGGTGTGCTTCTGCCTTGTAGCTTCCGCTGAAGTCTCACTAGATGACTACTTGTGTATATTTAATACTTCCTGGACACTGTTCTCTTT